ATTTTCTGAGCTGGTGAACAAGAGTAGAATTTATGATGAAGATAGTAGGGCTCGGCCTAGCCACTACAAGAGTTTAAATGATAAGAAGGGAAAAGGTCAATTCATAGGAAAACCGTATGTGACTCCTGCTGATAAGGAGAAACAGAAAGCTGGTTACGGCAAGAAGCCGAGTGGGGGAGGAGCTTCCACTCCAGTGAAGTGTTTTAAATGTGGTGTTGAAGGACATCGTGCTCCTGAGTGCACGAGTGTTGAGCAGAAGTGTTTCAAGTGTGGTAAGCTAGGCCACAAGGCTTTCGAGTGCAGAAGCGGTGCGAATGTGACTTGCTACAATTGTGGTGAGCAAGGGCACATTAGTACCACGTGTGACAAGCCAAAGAAGACTCAAGTGAATTGGAAAGTGTTTGCTCTATCAGGGTCGGAGACTGCTAGTGAAGATCAATTGATCCGAGGTACGTGCTTCATTAATGGTATACCTTTGATCGCTATAATTGATACTGGAGATACACATTCTTTTATTTCTTTAGATTGTGTTAAGAGATTAAGTCTTGAGTTGTCAATTATGAGTGGAGGTATGGTTATTGATACTCCTGCTATGGGTTCACTAACTACCCTTTTTGTGTGTTTGAATTGTCCGTTGAGTATTTTTGGTAAAGACTTTGGAGTTGATTTAGTGTGTCTTCACTTAGATCAACTTGATGTTATTCTTGGGATGAATTGGTTGGAATTCAATCGTGTCTATATTAACTGTTTTGACAAAACGGTTATTTTTCCTGAACTTGAGGATGAAAGAGACTTGTTTATGACTGCTAAGCAAGTGAAGGAATCGGTGCAAGATGGTGCGAAGGTATTTCTGTTAATGCCAAATTTGATCATTGGGGAAAGCGGAGAAATTGATGCTTTACCAATTGTCCGTGACTTTCCGGAAGTTTTTCCTGATGAGATAAGAGACTTACCGCCGGAACGAGAAGTGGAGTTTACGATCGACTTAATTCCGGGAACTAGTCCGATATCTATGGCTCCATATCGTATGTCCGTGTCGGAATTAAAAGAGTTGAAGAGTCAACTTGAAGACCTACTTGAGAAGAGGTTTATTCGTCCGAGTGTGTCACCGTGGGGTGCACCAGTGTTGTTGGTTAAGAAGAAAGAAGGTTTTATAAGACTCTATATGGACTACAGATAATTGAATAAGGTGACCATCAAGAATAAGTATCCACTTTCGAGGATTGATAATTTGATGGATCAATTGGTTGGTGCGAGTGTGTTCAGTAAGATAGATTTGAGATCTGGGTATCATCAAATTCGTGTGAAGGCTGAGGATATTCAGAAGACTGCTTTTAGAACGAGGTATGGACATTATGAGTATTCTGTGATGCCATTTGGTGTGACTAATGCACCATGTGTATTTATGGAGTACATGAACAAAATTTTCCATCCTTATTTGGACAATTTTGTGGTGGTGTTTATTGACGATATTTTGATTTATTTGAAGAGTGAAAAGAACATGTCGAGCATTTGAGGATTGTGTTATCTATGTTAAAAGAGAAGCAGTTATATGCTAAACTTTCTAAGTGTGAATTTTGGTTGAAGGAAGTGAGTTTCCTTGGTCATGTGATTTCAAGTAGAGGTATTGCAGTTGATCCGTCGAAGGTTGAAGCGGTATCGCAATGGGAGACTCCGAAATCAGTTTTTGAGATTAGAAGTTTTCTTGGTTTGGAAGGTTATTATCGGAAATTCATTGAAGGATTTGCCAAGTTATCTTTACCGTTGACGCAGTTGACTAGGAAAAGTCAAGCTTTTTTTGGGATGCAAAGTGTGAAGAAAGTTTCAAGAGCTTAAGAGAAGATTGACGACAGCCCTGTTTTGATTTTACTGAATCCGGCAAAACCGTTTGTTGTGTATTGTGACGCTTCTTTGATGGGTTTGGGAGGTGTGTTGATGCAGAATAAATAAGTTGTGGCTTATGCTTCGAGGCAACTCAAAGTGCATGAGAAGAATTATCCGACACATGACTTAGAGTTAGCCACCGTTGTATTTGTGTTGAAACTTTGGAGGCATTATTTGTTTGGTTCGAGATTTGAGGTATTTAGTAATCATAAAAGTTTGAAGTATCTCTTTGATCAGAAAGAATTGAGTGCAAGGCAGAGGAGATAGTTAGAACTTCTGAAGGATTATGATTTTGGTTTGAATTACCATTCGGGTAAAGCGAATGTGGTAGCTGATGCATTGAGTAGGAAATCGTTGCATATGTCGATGATGATGGTAAAAGAGTTGGAATTGATTGAACAATTTCGCGATTTGAGCTTGGTGTGTGAGAAGACTTCTTATGGAGTTAAGCTTGGTATGCTAAAGCTTACTAGTGGTATTCTTGACGAGATTCGAGAAGGACAGAAATCTGATTTGAGTTTAGTTGATCGGTTGACTTTGATCAATCAAGGTCAAGGTGGTGATTTTCAGATTGATGAAAATGGTATCATGAGGTGTCGTGATAGAGTTTGTGTTCCTGATGTTATTGAGCTGAAGAGGAGTATTCTCGAGGAAGGACATCGTAGTGGGTTGAGTATTCATCCGGGTGCTACTAAGATGTATCAAGATTTGAGGAAAGTATTTTGGTGGCCTCGTATGAAGAAGGATATTGCCGAGTTTGTGTATTCTTGTTTGACTTGTCAGAAGTCAAAGATTGAGCATCAGAAACCGTCGGGTTTGATGCAACCGTTGTTTATTACTGAGTGGAAATGGGATAGCATTTCTATGGATTTTGTGTCTCGTTTACCTAGGACGCCAAGTAATTTTGAAGCTATTTGGGTTATTGTGGATAGATTGACCAAATCTGCTCACTTTATTCCTATGCAAATGGATTACCCGTTGGAGATATTGGCAAAGCTGTACATTGAAAGGATTGTCAGTTTGCATGGTATTCTGTCTAGCATTGTGTCAGATAGAGATCTGAGGTTTACTTCGAGATTTTGGGAGAGTTTGCAAAGTGCTTTGGGTACGAAGTTGTGTTTGAGTTCAGCTTATCATCCGCAGACCAATGGTCACACTGAGAGAACGATTCAATCACTTGAAGATATTTTGAGAGCTTGTGTATTGGAGAAGGGAGGAGCTTGGGATAGCTACTTACCTTTAATTGAATTTACTTACAACAACAGTTTTCATTCGAGTATTGGTATGGCACCGTTTGAAGCATTGTACGGTAGACGATGTAGGACGCCATTGTATTGGTATGAGTCGGGAGAGAGTTCTGTGGTTGGACCCGAGATAGTCCAGCAGACTACCGATAAGATTAAGATGATTCAAGAGAAGATGAAGACTTCTCAGAGTCGTCAAAAGAGTTATCATGACAAGAGGAGGAAAACACTTGAATTTTAGGAGGGAGATCATGTGTTTCTTCGGGTTACCCCTATGACTGGTGTTGGTAGGGCATTGAAGTCGCGTAAGTTAACGCCGCATTTTATTGGTCCTTATCAGATTTTGCAGAAGATAGGAGAGGTAGCCTATCGTGTTGCTTTACCGACGTCGCTTGATAATCTCCATGATGTGTTCCATGTATCTCAGTTGAGGAAATACATTACGGATCCATCTCATGTAGTCCAAGTAGATGATGTGCAGGTGAGAGATAACCTGACTGTGAAAACATCACCTATGCGGATAGAGGATCGGGAGTTGAAGCAACTTCGAGGCAAAGAGATTGCTTTGGTGAAGGTCGCTTGGGGAGGACCGGCTGGTGGAAATGTGACTTGGGAACTTGAGAGTCAGATGAGGGAGTCCTATCCCGAATTGTTTGAATCAGGTAACCTTTTCGAGGACGAAAATTCCTAAAGTGGGGGAGGGTTGTAACAGCCCAATTTTAATTAATTAATTATTCATATTAATTAATTGATTTATTTGGATGATTTTAATTATTGGAATTGTTGGTAGATATTTGAGAGAAGAAATAATGGAAGGAAATAGAATAGAAAGGCATATAAGGAAAAATGGAAGAAAGAGGAAATAATAGAAAACATAAGAGAAAGAGAAGAGAAAGAAAGAGGAAGAGGAGATGAGAGAAGGAAAAGAAGGAAAAGCTGGGAAAGCTCAAGAACAACTTCTAGCTTCGATTTAATCAAGGTAAGGGTGTGAAATATTATTATCTTATCAATGTGTATGATTGTGTATGTGTGTGTTTAGATTTGTTAGAGGTTTCCCATCATTTTCCATTCTAGGGCAGAAATGAATTTAATCGATAGAGTCGATGTTTGAACGGTTACAATTTGAATAAATGGTGTAGATTAGTCTAGAAATGTTAAGCTAAGACTACTGGAATTCATTGGAATTGAATCGGTTGATTTTGTGATGATTTGATGATTTTGGACAGTTGGGGTTTTGAACATCGCAGACGTTCGCTAGCACCTTC